AGACACGGGGGGCGGGGAGCGAGGGGTCGGAGACGCGGGACTGGGGTGCTCTCCCCCTTACCGTGTCTTTGGAGGACCTACGTCTCTTGAAGCTGGAGGCCAGGGTGGAGGTGATAGCCCTAAATGTGGCTTTCTTTTTAGGGTCGGGCTCTGCTCTACCACTCTTTCTATCCTAAAATGAATATGTATAAGTGATTAGACGGCTGAGGGTGGCGGCCACACCTGCCCTCGCCTGCTCCTTGTGGACCACTGCCGGCCTGGCCGGCCACTCGGGCCCTCGCTCCTGCCTGCCTCCCTGTGCTGGACAGACGGGCCGACGGCTGGATAGTCGAGGGCGGCCTCTTCTCCTGCCCGGGGTCTCGGGCCTGACCTTGCTGGTGCTGGGGCTGAGCTTGGGGGGTCCCGGCTGGCTGTCTTCCTGGGAGGTCCACCTGGCTCCTGGGTGGCCCTGGCTTACAGGCAGCCCGAGGAGCAGGAGGACCTGTGAGGAGGTGCCCCTCAGGCCACGACAGCTATTCTGCGCGGAGGCCGCTGACAAGACTCAGGAAGGGGCCGAAGGCAGGTGTCGAGATGGAATTGGAGCGACAGACAGAGGCAGCTTCCGGGACTCTGGCCTCAGGTCTGACGGCCAGGACGGCCTGTGCCCGACTTGGTAGGAGCGGCCAGGTCCCCAGGGGACCTGTGGGCCAAGAGCAAGAGCGGGTGGATGAGAAGCGTGGGGGCTCGGGCGGTCCCGTCCCCCCACAGCCCTCCAGGCCAGCTTCCTCTCAGGAAGGCACCCAGAGAAAGAGAAGAGATGGAGTGAAGCAGAACCGACCTGGGCCAGGAGCCCTCAGGCCTGCGCAGCCCGGAGTCCCCCCTCGCCCCAGGTGGGCGGCGGCCGCCACGGACACGGCCTGGGGCGCCAGGCGGGGCCGGACCTGTCCCCGTTCGGATTGGGGTCACGGAGCACAAGGACATAGCAGGAAAGGGGTCTCCGCAGGGCGTCGTGGGGGCTCGGGGCGGCGGCGGGCAGAATGCATCTCGGACTCACGTGCTACACACAGGTGGGCCCCTGTCTTACCCTGCCTGTTTGCCTTCCTATGGGATGGGTACCGGCGGGCGACTCTGGAGACAAAGGGGCCAGGCGGAGGCTCGGAGCAGGGTGCGTTGGCCTCCCTCGGCCGGCTTGCAGTGGGCAGCCACCTGCAGGCAGCCCCCCACCAGCACTGCCCGGTGCCCTGGGAGCACTCACCACTGCCCCAGCCATGGCTCCCAGCTCCAGTCCTGCCCACGGGAGCCAGAGCCGGTGCCACGGCCTTCAGGGCTAGGGGAGGGCCGTGGCCAGGCCGGGCCCTGGGCACCAGGCCTCGGAGGCTGGCCTGCCCTACCTGCAGGTTCTTCCGCCACACGTTCACCGCGGCAAAGGCCAGCTGCATCTGCTTCCGGCGTGCGTCCTTGTGGCGCTTGTAGGCGATCTCAATGATGATCAGGAAGATCCCGGCCACGATGCCCCCGGCCACCAGCATGAAGACCCCTGCGGGCCAGGACCCAGGGCCTCAGCTGCTGGCCAGGGCGGCGCAGCCCGGGGAGGCCCACTGCGTGTGCGCAGAGCCGCACCTGCCATGTTCTCGAAGGTGAGGGTGGCAGGGGCGTTGCTGCGCGAGTCACATTCCTGGTACCGCACCCACGTCTTGTCCAGGTCTTCCATGAAGCCATTCTCGTGAGACCTGGGGGTGCAGAGTCTGCCCT